ACAAACAAGTACCTGCATGCAAGGAAAGAACGTCTTCGTGAAAGGGTAGGGCCGGGTGAGGGCACACTACCACGAAACTTCAATAATCGCGGAGGGGGCGGCCGTGCCCTTAGCCACCCAACCCCGCACAAGGCTACAGCCACAAGGAACGTCAACAACACGCTTCCACGCTATGGGGCCGCTGCCCCCGGCCTCTCCGGGCCCCGACCCGCGAGTTAACACTCGTGTCGGCTCCCAAACACCACGGGGCTGCTGCCCCCCGGCCTCTCCGGGCCCCGACCCGCGAGTTAACACTCGTGTCGGCTCCCAAACACCACGGGGCTGCTGCCCCCCGGCCTCTCCGGCCCCGACTTGCGAGTTAACACCCACGTCGGCTCCAAACCACCATGACCTTCCCGGGCCCACGGGCTGCAAATTACCTCTCACACCCGCACCACACTACACCCCGTTACTTCTCCTTGCACTCTTTGGCGAAGTGCCCAGGCTTATTGCACTTGAAACAGACACCCGCCGCTGCCGCCTGCTTCACCCCGGCCCCCGCACCAGAGCCGGCCGGCACGCTCGCGGGTTTGGCCTGCTTGGGCTTCTTGCCCGCCACCGCCTTCACGGCCTGCTTCAGCGCCTTGCGCTCCTCCTCCGTCTCCGTGTACGCCATACCATGCATCTCATGCACGACCTCCCAGCCGTGGTTGTATGCAACGACCAGCTCCTTCACGACCCCCCGGAACACGGCCTTGCCGTCGGTGATGGCAGTCTCCATGGCCTCGATGTTCCTGAAGTGTTCCTCACCGGGCCGAGCCGCGAGGATGTTGCGCCACGCGTCCTCAATGTCCATTACCGCATTGTAGCATTTCTCAATATGCGCGCGCTGTCCGCTGAGAGACTTGTTCGCTTTGCCCTTGCTGGCACCGGAGTCACATTTGAAATCCTCAAGGGTAACACGGCCCGCTTCGCCGGTGGACCGTCGACCGCCTGCACGTCAGGCTTCGTGTCCATAAGCTTCTTAATGGTTGTCAGCTGCAGCTTCACGGTGTTCAGCTGGTCCATGGCAGCCAGCTGCTGCTTGTTCAAAATTACGCCCGGGTCAGCGGCACGACGCTCCTGTGCAGCCTTGACATCTTTATTTTCCTTAAGTGCGACTAGTCGCACTTTTAGTTCGGTGTACATCGTGTTGTAGCTGACCGAAGTCTCGCTGTCAGAATCGGACATTGTAATTGAGGGCACACTACCACGAAGCGGATCACCAAGGCCTACAGACCAACCACTTCACGGCAGCACCCAAACGTAGCTACGAACAACCCGAATTAGCCAACACTGTCGCGTGCCGTGACACAAGAGCCACACTGGCTCGTACGCCATACGGCAAAGACACTCCGTATTCGCAGAAAACCTTAGTTTTCAATGCTTCACGTAGAAAACTGTCAGATTACACTGTGGGCTGAAAAGCCGGGGGCCCAGGGCCGAAGCACAGTGCGGGGGGCGGGTGCATACGGCTGGTTAGTCTCATGCACTCCGCCCCCGGGTCAGGCCGCATGGGAAACGAACCCACAGAGAAGACGTGTCTAAATAGAATGGCCCTCCGAGGCCTCGGGCCACATCTCCCCCACATCCGAGCCCCGCTACCACCACCAGACCTCAACCTCCCAAACACCAGAAAACCTACGTCCTTCTGGCACTCTCACCGCCATCTCCCCCCTCCCCTGTCCGAGCGACCCCACCTCCCCCCGGCTCTCCAGCACCCTACAACCTCGGAGCGGCACTAGGGAAGGAAAAGGGTTCTTCCCTGCACGACGTGACCGCCTCCATTCCCCATCCTTCTCCTCTCCCTCTCCCGTCTCGGGGTTCCCTCTCACCTATTCCCTTGTCCTCCAATCCCCATCCCCCTCGAACTCCTATACCCCCCTAAGCCCTGCCCTCCAAACTAAGCTCAAAGCACTCTTAGGCAATAATTTCCACCGCTTCAGCGCACCGCAGTGCACCTTCTGAAACCAACAGGATTGGGTGGTCGGGTCCCACCTTGTCCCAGCCTCTAGAGGCTGGGACGGAGATCTCCGTGGGGTGCCCAGCACCGTGAAGGAGTGCAGACGCGCCCAGAAGTCCACTACTGCCCGGGCGCAGGTCCGCTCCAAGGGGGTTGCTGCGGGTGCTGCTGCCGCCGCACCTGCTGTTGCTGCTACTGCCCCTGTCGCCGTGTTCTGCTCCTGCGTTTGGTCCTCATCCCCCAGTGCATTCAGTGCAGGCCCCGTCTGCAGTCGTGCCCCATCGGCCTGGATGAAAATGTCCGTTATCCGCCTCTGCCTGGGGCTGGGTACCTGCACCTGCTGCGTGTGCTCGCGGTTCTGTGGTCCTTGGCTCCCAGCTTATTCCTGCCTCCTGCCTGCTGCCCTCAGGCAGCATCTGCCAACCTCCATGGCTGACAGGGCCGACAGGGCGAGTATATCCCATATGGCCTGTTCGCATCCAGTTGAAGCCAGTACTAGCCAGAGTTGCTTTCGGGTGACTCCACCTACCGCCACTTCCTGAGAAGACTGTAGATACCGGTCGATCTGTGCCTGCACCGCCTGCACCACCGGGCATTCCCAAAAGTGATGCATGTGTAGGGTTGGCAAAATCTTTAGATGGAAAAAGTATCTAATTAGAAATCTAATTAGATACCTAATCTAATTAGGTAAATCTTTAGATGGGCAAACGGAAAACTGCCTAAACGGTGGAATTTTGACCTGAAATTTTGCACACGATGCGGCTTTATCTTTTCCTGGATTTTCCAATAATTTTTTGGGCCGCTCGACACTGGGAACACGGCGAACCCCTATGGGCGCTCTACAGACGCGTGTCGGATGGCGCCAGGGGGTGTAATTAGGCGCCCTGCGGCCCAACCGTCGGCCCAACTGCAAACGGAACCACCAAAGTACACGTGCCGACATGCGGGACACGCCCGCATTGGGATGCAAAGCTGTCGGGCTCTGTTCTGCCGGCCTGTTCGACTGGCGACAACGGGGTTTCACCTCCACACACCCGTCACGCAGTCAGTTGTCCTTGCCCACCGGCTGCACCACGCAAACGACAGAAACATCACGGCATTAGACGACAACAGCCCTAATTAGCAGGCCCGTTCGGCTCTAACGCCTCGTCAAGCACGGTCGAGGCAAGCTTCTTGCGGCTGGGGAGGGTGATGCCAACAGCCTTGCACGCCTTCACGAGGTCGGGGTGCTCGATCAGTTGGAGGGCGATGTTGCACTTGAAGAAGAAAAGAGCCAGGTGCTTCAGGAAGGTGGCGATTTGCACTGCAGCGAGGAAGAAGGTCCGAACTGGCCCCTCCTCCGCGCGCGAGCGCTTCGTGCTGTTGGTTGTGGGCGCCCCGGACTGCTCGCTTCCGACCGCGCTGGCGACGTCCTTCTGGTGCTTCGCATAGTGATCCAGGCAGACAGCTGACGGGTTCTTCGCGCTATAGGACTTGTTGCAAACGGTGCAGACGAGGTTCACAACGCCTTTTACGAGCAACACGTCGAAGATGGACCAGTACGCTGCGGCTTTGATGCTGCGCTTGGCTTCGCAGAGCTTCGCTGCATACTGTGGCGCGTCGAAAGTCTGGTGGTTGTATTTGTATGTGATCGGCTTTTGGGGTCCTGGTTCTGCCATTGTGTATTTTTACATCTATTTGTGTATGTAATAGAGCGGAGCAAGGATATGACACTAAAGTTACCTTCGACATAGCTGTTTCGCGTGCCATGACTCACGTTTAAACGGTCTGGATCCGGTCACCGGCCTTTAGATAGGCATTAGATGGACTAGATACGTTTAGATGCCATCTAAACGGTTTAGATAGGCTCATCTAAAATCTATATAGAAATCTAATTAGATGGCATCTAAATTAATTTCTAAATCTAAACTTCCGGCCAACCCTATGCATGTGTGGCGAGCATGGCTGGCCAGCTGCTACCGAATCCGCCACATCCACAGCATTCTGGAGTCATGCGGGCTAGGTGTGTGTTGCCCGGTAGGGGGACGCCATCCACTGTGAGCCGCCATAACGTCTCCTTATTCTCATTCTCCCATCATACCCCGGACCAAACACGGGCCTGCGTCACCCTGAATAGGCTGATTTCCGAGGGGGGCGGCAGCGACGGGCCCTGAGGATACGTCGCCTCCCGCACAAATTCAGCTACCAGGCGTCTTCTCCTCTCCTCCATAGGCCCACATTGCAGCTGTGTCGCCAGGCGAACCGTGAGGCGTGCCAGCGGGATGGCTTCCGCCATCCCAGGTATACGCCACCCAATTCGCCCAGCAATCATACCCATCGCTTGCATGCTGGTCAGCAGTGGTGCTGGTGACGGTATGAAAGCCTCCCCCCCTTCTGTTGCCGCTGCCATCGGTTCCGTTAGCCCCTGCTGCTGCTGCTGCTGCTGCTGCTGTCACCGGGTCTCAACCGTTCTAGCAGCTTCGAGCCAGGCCGGGTTTATGCTGCTATGCAGCACCGCGAGGGCTGCCCGGGTCACGGGTTTATCCCGCGTGGAGATCGGGGTAAGCGGGTCGAGGTGAGTCTGGGCCCACTCCAGCCATACTGTCCTAGGGAGGGTTGCCAGATCGATGCTCTCTGCCAGGGTCCAAACCCGCACCAGGTCCCCTACCGTCTGTAGTTTCCTGCAGGTGGCAAGCCCAGGGCATTGGTACTCCAGGCCAGGGCAGCGGCCCCGGTATGTATGTATGTATGTATGTATGTATGTATGTATGTATGTATGTATGTATGTATGTATGTATGTATGTATGTATGTATGTATGTATGTATGTATGTATGTATGTATGTATGTATGTATGTATGTATGTATGTATGTATGTATGTATGTATGTATGTATGTATGTATGTATGTATGTATGTATGTATGTATGTATGTATGTATGTATGTATGTATGTATGTATGTATGTATGTATGTATGTATGTATGTATGTATGTATGTATGTATGTATGTATGTATGTATGTATGTATGTATGTATGTATGTATGTATGTATGTATGTATGTATGTATGTATGTATGTATGTATGTATGTATGTATGTATGTATGTATGTATGTATGTATGTATGTATGTATGTATGTATGTATGTATGTATGTATGTA